CCACGCTACAACTCGCGATGCACTCGACGACACACAGAGCATAGCTCCTGACTCTTCAGTTCAGTCGTTCCCGGAGCTCAACACGCTCTAACCGCGATACACTATGAGACTCTTTCGGTGAACTCGACGACCCACACGGCACTCGCTGCCCGGTTGTCAACTCGATCGACTTCGCAGGGATTCACTCGCTAGACGAGTTACCAACTCGATGCTAACTAACTCGCACTCTAGACGAGGCACACACACTAACTGATTGCGGACCAGCAGGGTTTATATAGCTTTCGACTTGTATTTGGAAACATTCTGTGCTAAACCGGTAAGAATTTGTTCCAGAAAGTTTTCCAACCGTCCATGGTATATCGCCAATTTTGTCGCCAAATATCGCCAAATGGGCGATTTTTCGCCAAATGTAGACACTCTGCCCTCCTTTGCCATTTTATGGCCCCCTAAAACTGCTTTGCGGGAAAACCATCTCACCGCGCCTGTACATTTTGTAATAATATATTGATAAGACAGAATCTTTTCTGAAATGTTTTATGTATATATGTTAGATACGTTTGCTTTTCATTACATGTATATGTATTTCTATGTCGTCTATCTATCTATCTGTTTACCTGTAAATATGTAAATAAAATATTTAAGAAAACCGTATTATGGGATGTTATGTGTTATTAATGAAGAACGTAGTTTTCAAGCTCCATCTCATAACATTATTTGATTTCAAGTGTTCCTGAATCGAAAGCTTAAAATTTATATTCTGCGATTATAGCAAATTATGTTCCGTAATATAATTACGGCATATAAGTCCTTTGTATAATACATATGCAAATGATAGCTATCTTGTTTTTTATCTTTATCGAAAGTGACGAAAAATTTTTTTCTCACCAGCTACCAATCCTTTTTTACTTCCTTGTACGAAGTAAAAGAAGAAAAGGAAGTATTGTAATCACGAAAAATTCCGGGTATCACATTTCAACGAAAATATCCGTTTCGACAGTTATCGAATGCAATTTAACAATCTTTTTGCATGACGTCAGTAAGTAAGGACAAAATAAAGGACTCTTTTTACCCAAACGAATTATAAAGCTGATTTAAAATGAATTCAAAAGAGATTTTTTTCATGGCGTCTGTACGTATGTATGTATCTCGCATAACTCAAGAACGACCAGTCTCAAAATGTTGAAATTTTGTATACAGGACTGCTATAATATGTAGTTGTGCACCTCCGGTTTTGGTTGCAATCGGCGGTACCCAAAAGTATATATATATACCCACTTTCTGTTACTCGGCTGAGTGAGGTCAGTCTTTTTTTTATTGTTATATTTTGGTAAATTGTGCATAGAAATAATTGAATTATGTTTTTCTTATCTTCCAGTTTTAATGTAAATTTAAATGTAATGCAAGGAAAATGCGTATAATTAATATTCCGTTCAAGTAAGTCATGTGATGTACACATCAGCTTTTTTAATTTGAACACAGATTATAATATACTTAATAATCTAATTAAATTATTTAAGCCGTATTATTTACAGTCAACTCATTTATGAAAATATATCTTTAAATTCTTCTGACTTTTTCCTATTCTGTGCTTTCCCCAGTTAAAAATTATTTCAAATAACTTTATTATTGATGCCATTAAATACTAGTGTTTCATTAATAACTAGTTAACTAGATTTACACTAACAATTATAAAAAAATTAATACTATAAAAGCATTCTTAAGCAATCATTTTTAAGTATATGATTTTTATGAAATATTATAAAATTTTGCGAATAAAATTCAAAAGTTTAAAATCTAATAAAACTGCACAAATGCGAAATCCATTGAAAATTAATCAAATGATCTAATAGAAATTATACTTTATTTTTTTCAAACATTTCTGAAAGGATTCGATATTTATAGCAGCTTACGGTCTCATGTAACGTACCATCTATCACAGATGCAGTAACTATAGACATGAAATACTGCTTTTATATTACAAGAAATTAAAATTAAATTAATATCAAGATGAAATAACAGAAATGCCAAACTATGTCCTGTTAATAAGTCAAGAAATTGTATTGTCAATTCTAGGCTTATAAAAATATTAAGGAGTGTTTATATCATACAAGTGGAGTTTATTGCTTATATTTGTTGTCTATCGATAGAACTCCTAGTGGTATGTTAATCAACTAACCGCTTGTGCCGCAGCAGCCTAAAATATTCATTATGAAAGCGAAAAGATATGTAAAACCGTCTAGCTAGAATAATTTCACAGGTCTAGTAATTTATTTGTAATAGGATGAAGAACTGCATATACTACTTTTAAATCAATTGTTTTCTTAATTAGCAACAAACAGATTAAATTTGGAAGGAAAATTAAAGTTTACGCATTGTCGATCGGCAGAAAACTAGCGCGTGGAAGATAAAAATGTTTTATTTTGAGTAGTTGCAACATATTTGCTTCTAAAATATAAACTTTCGACTTTTTTCCTGCATTACATTTAAATTTATTTCCACGAATTTCATTAGATATATATTTCTCATTCAATTAATTCAGTTCTTACCTCGCTGCATACATAAAAACTCAAAATATTTTCATTAAAAATTGAAAGATATATACAAAAACCTGAAGAAACAAATACAGTTAAAACATCTGAAAAAACGATTTCTACAGTTAAAACGCAGAAAAACAAGCTATTCAGCCAGTAGACAAGAAGGCACAAAATTAATGTTTCTTTTTTTTTCACTCGGCAAGAAAAAAGGTTCAGGAAGACTTATTTCACTATTCCGCTAAGTTTCAAATGTAAAAAAAATATGGCTGCTATGGTAAAAAAATTAGGCTTATCCGCATTTAGACAACTTTTAAATTGTTGATAATTCTACATCTATTTCATGCAAATTAACAAAAGGCATAAAAACATTAACTGAAAAATACGAACAACATAATTCAGTTATTTCTAAAGCAAAAAAATGCACAATTTACCAAAATATAATAACAAAAAAAGACTGAGCACACTGAGCCGAGTAACAGAGTAGGTATATATATATATATATATATTCTGTTGGTGCCGCCGATTGCAACCAAAACGGGAGGTTAACTGTCTGTAGATTAAATTTGATATATAAATATCCTACACTTTGCCGAGCCGTAACACATTGCTTTTAAATCTCATTGCTTTTTACTTCCTTGTATGAAGTACAAAGGAAGTATTGTAATCGCGAAAAGTTTCAGGCAGCATATTTCAACGAAAATATCCATTTTGACCGCTATCGAATGCAATTTAACGATATTTTTGCGTGATATCTGTACGTAAGGACAGAATAAAATACTCTTTTTCTTCAAAAAAATTATAAAACTGCTTTAAAATTAATTCTGAAGAGAGATGTACGTACGGTACATATCTCGCATAACTCAAAAACGAGTAGCCTCCGAACGTTGAAATTTTGTATATAGGGACTGTTTATAACATGTAGATTGTGCACCTCGTATTTTGAGTTGCAATCGGCCCAACCAAACGTATATAAATATATATATATATATATATATATATATATATATAGTATATATTTCCACTCGGCTCTTATTATGTTGGTAAATTGTACATTTTTTGCTTTAAAAATGATTGAATTATGTTGTTTTTATCTTCCTATGCCTTTAATAAATCTGTGTGCAATATTTTTAGAATTATCAGCAATTTTAAAGTTGTTTAATTTCCGCTAAGCCTGTTTTTATTGGCGGCCACTGATGTTTACATTTGAAACAGAAGACTAATAGATTTGTTGCCACTCTAGAGAAACTTAGCTTCGTAACAACAAAGATAACGCATTCATTTATTATTGCCAATTAAATCATGCTTAATTCTTTCTGGAATTTTTTCGAGGAAATAAGTGTTTGAAATTTACTTCGTAATTTTTAATATAGATATTTTGAGTTTTTATGTATTTTTGCCTCTCGCGAAGTGGAACTGAATTAATTGAATGAGAAATACTGAATAGTCTGTGAAAAACTGTTTCTTTTTCGTTTTGTTTGCATAATTTCTTTTATACATCATTCTAGCTTTATTATAGTATTTGAATAGAACATGTGGCAACGATTAGATAATTCTATTCTTTAAATGATATAAATTGTGTGCATTATGAGTTATAATATGAACGAAATATATACGTTAACTGTTATATAATTATTGGATTATATAACAGTTAACTTAGTTTCCGTTATATAATTATTATATAATTATTGGGTTATATAAAAGTTGAATTAGTTTCCGTTATATAATTATTATATAAGTTAACTGTTATATAATTATTAATACTGTTAAGTGAATCTAGCGGCAGAATGTCGCTATGGTAAACAAATACTAGAGTGAATTTTTAAAGAATGCATTTATTCTATTGTGGTTTATGCGCTGTCGGCGAAGTAGATTTAATTCAATCCAATAAGTTTAAATGAAATGCAAGAAAAAATGCGTGTAATTTAATATTCCAATACAAGGAAGTCATGTGGTGTACACATCAGATTTTTTAGTTTGTTAAACAAAACTTCATTAAATTCGCGCATAATATAAAGCAAATTAGAAAAGACTAACATACATTCTTGTGTAAATAAATAGGCGGCAAATATTTCTTTCCTATTTATCTAAATTTCTTGATTTATTTAATTATAGTAAACATAAATTTAAGTAGTTGAGATGTATGGAAAAGTCATTAACTATTCAAAGCATCGATGGCTGTTCTCCCGCCAGCATATCATTAACTCCAAAACTCGTTTCGGTTTCGTCTCTAGCGTGAGCAACCACAAATGACGTTTATTGAGAAAAAAAAGTTCTGTGAATTCAAAAAAAAAAAAGAAAAAAAAAAAAAAAAAAAAAGAAAAAAAGAAAAAGAAAAAGAAAAAGTATTACTCATGTAGTTTTTCACAGTCACATCATTTTTTATAGTGGAAAACATGGAGACCATATTTCGGCAATATGTTTTTCAAAAGATTTGTGAGATTCTGAAACGACCAGTAGACTTGGAGGCCGCTTCTGAGGTTGTCATCCTTCTGATAGCAATCCGTTGACCTTCAAGACGCGTTCAAGGTCTCTATATAACATATCGAAAGCGATCGCAACCTGAGCTTAAAAGCGGAAAGGAGTTCAAGAGAGAAAGTGATACCTGAAGTGCCTCGCGGAAAAGTATGGCAGGGAAGATTACTTTAGGATTATTATTACTCGTGGTGTGTTGGACTTTGACATTGGCTATCGTAAATAATAATGGGAGTGAATATGCGGAAGAAGAAGAATCTTTCGAGGATGTGGAAAAGAAGTTCAAAAATGCCGCTAGCTCAGCCGTCAAGAAGATTTTACCTTATTTACTGAGAGGTAGTTCTGATGCTAAGGTATCCGGACAATGCACGGCAAGCATCATGAAAATTATAGGTGGTGTACGCAGTCTTCGTGAGTGGGCAGTAAGATGTAAGTGCTTTCGTTTTATTGTTTCAATCATTTTTAGATAAATGGGACATGTTTCCTTATTTTCCGTATTATTCCCTCAACCTTCAATCAAAACTACTATGCAGTAGCTAGCGATAATAACCACTGTCAAAACTTTCAGATGTCTTCAATATATAAAATTTCATTTAACACATTAAAAGTAAAATGTGATTGCTGTTTTCTAAATCAGAATTCACTAATTAAAGGATTTCGAGTTTTACGGGTGTTAGCACAAATAGTATCGAAACTTTCGATATTTTTTCTGAATTTGTTTTTAACATTTATATCACTAGAGAGGCTATTAATCTTGATCCTCACATTTTTGTCCGTCTAACTTTTCGAAGAAGAGGAGGTTGACACCAAATGTTATCCTCATATAATATTCTTAAAGAAATAATATAGCGAATAAAATGGAATGTATGGCAACATAAATAAAAGGATGCTGCCTCCTAGTGTTATTGCCATGTATTATCCTTAAAGAAAAAATGTATGGCAATAATTAACATTCTATCGGAATTATGAAAGTATGCAGCTTTTAAAAATTTTGTAATTTACTGTTCAATTTTATATGGCGTAAGTTTCAAAAAAGTGATGTTTAATAATAAAGTAAAAAAGACGAAAAAGGTCGAAGAAATAAGTCATTTTCTTAGGAGGACTCAATATTGATATGATAAAAATGTGTGGCAAAACATAATATTCGGGTAATATAAAAAAGTCATGCGCTTAAAAATTTTGAGATTTTGCAGTTGAATTTTGTATGGCGTACGTACCAAGAAACCAATGTTTTAATAACAAAGTTAAAAAGGACAAAACAAATCATGCTAGAAGGATTGAATCCAAGAACAGATTGTTAAAATGGGAGGTCAGGGGGAGTTTGTTAGGGTCTTAAAAAACCTTAACAAACTCTTTGGTGCTATGATTTTATCTTTTTAAGTTTTCCTTTTCTTTTCTATTTTTATTTATTTATTATGTTAATAAACTTGTGTTTTCAAAAGTAAGTTTCTCTTACATGTCGAACAATGATGAGTGCAAATGCTATGAGTAAATAGATTTTACTAACTAATTTTTGATAAAGTTAAGCAATCTAAATGAGTTATTTATGGTTCTTTTTTTAGCATTTTGTTAGAATTTTTTGTTGATAATTTCACATTAGTCTGTTGAAGCATTTTTGCTAAAATCTCAGTAGAGTCATAATTTTTATATTACTGGAACATACATGTGTGTGAAAAAAATAAGATATAAACAGTACTCACCTATAAAAATAAGATTGTACGGCCGAATATTTTGTTAATGGAGCTTACATATTAGCAAAGAAGCAGGAATGGCATAATATTAATTTAAAATTCCTTAACGACGAAAAAAAGAAATGAATGAATTTTGCTTCATTAAAAATAAATAAAGAAAAACAAATATATCAATATTCATTCATTTTAAGTATAATAAATATTTATTTCGTTATGAAATCGAGCACACATATGGCTTTTATCCCATTTTCTGAAATAATTAATTTCTCTGAACTTATTTCTTTTTTAACTTTTGCTTAATTTCGTTGGAAAGAATAGGAATTACGAAATAAATAACAAATAGAAAAGTTCAGTAAGAGTGTTGTAATTTTCTTCTGTTAAGAAACTCATGTAAAAACATTAACTCTCTGGGCTGACCTGCAGCATTCTTTGACTCGTAGAGTTATTATTTTATTGCTATTTAGATAAGGTCAGTCTGAGAGCCCTCTCTAAAATGGACCTGTATCTGTAGCTGTTGTTGAACTGCTATATAGCTGCGGTAACCACGGTATATTGTTAATTTATAATTCACTAGCCAGCACAGTTGTTATTTATAATCTGCTGCTGAGCTGCATAAAAGTGTTTAGCCACCAAAGTAGAAATGTCCATTCGTCTTTTCTTTTCTAACATTTTGTGATAAAAGGAAACCGGTAACAAGGTGACAGCAGGGCAGACGGCTTTCTAAGCCTATTCGGGTGTTGTCTGACTCTGCATCTATACTTTACTATTCTACTTTATGAGCATGAAAAGCTGATCATTAGAACAAATATGCTTTGACTGCTTTAGAATTCTACAGTATGATCGTAGTAGTCCATAGGTGACACAAATACACAAGAATTACACACTGACATGCATTAATTTTAAAGGAAACAGTATAACAGTCTTGACTTTTATTGTGTTGATTCTTTTTGGTCTGTTTCATCTGTAACAGTAAATTATTTCCTGTTGCATATTCGGCACATTCATACACTCAGTTGAACAAAGAACTAATTTAATGACCTTTAATGACATTTAATGTAAGCTTAAACTCAGAATTGCAGGACATATAAATAGATAAATACTTAAAATTTGTGGTAATGTCAAGTAATTCATATTAATTTATTTTGAAAAAACACTCTCGCTTTGGTCAATCAGTTATGAATATTAATATTACTTTTGAAGACGATAACTTGGCATGGAGGTTTGGAACGTTTTTCGGAAAATTATTTACATAAATAATTACATAACATTTAAGCTTTATGTATGAAAAATCACGAAAACCCCAACATAGCCGTAAAATTTCTCTGAAAGCGTGTCATAAGGAATAGGGATCCCACCAGCGGTCCAACGGTAATGTCGTTAACACTGGAGTTCAATCCGGAGTTCGAATAACGTCGGACAGCCTGGCTGCATGGGAATTTTTGTGGTTTTCTCCATTCATAACGTTGCACGAGCCAATTACTTTTAAAACGTCGTCCTCGAAGGCTTCCCTCCTTTTAGGTATATAGCCCTCGTGTGCTTTGCCATAACTAAATAAACCACGAGAAAGAAGGTGTCCCTTCAATACATCAATAGTAGGAAAAGGATAACAAATGATTTTTAAGTCTCATATTTTATTCGATGAAATATAATAAATTATTAGGGTACTTTAATTTTTTAACTTACATTGGCTGGACACATTGGCTATACTTAATCTCTTGACTACGTTTTAAGCGTTGTTTCTATTGTCGATCGCACATAAACGCTATTTATAATTAGTGGGAAAATATGGTATATAACTAAATATCAGGAAAATAACGCCATTTCAAATCTTTATCAAAACTCTTAACCTTAAGCATTCAACTCTGAAGGTATCTCTTAACTTCAAACATTAATCAAAATAAACATAGTAATGTAAAATACTACAAATATTGACGAATTTCGTTACTACTTATACATAAACGTACGCTCTAGACAGAAAATAACTATCATTTTACTGTCGTCGTGACGAAAATGCATCAACTTGAGAGTTAGATAGAATTCAAGAATGTTGAAAAATCATATTCCTGCATAAGCTTATTGAAGTCGCATTAAAATTTGTTCTTGTAATTTAAAAGTATACAAATAGTACTGAATGATTCTTTAAGTCTTGCACTCCAAGAAGAGGACTTAAAGAATTCGAAATTTTTTTTTCAGAATACGCTTCATCTAAAATAAAAAACTGTGGGCAGCCTTGTGTTTATGCCTGTAAGGCTTGGAAGAATAATAAATAAAGAATATTCACCTGTGACCCTAATATCCAGAGGGCGGAATCACGTGGAAACATATTTAAATGAACAGCTCGATTCGGCTTATTTAGGTCAAGTTCATCACTGGAATGGCTTCCGACCCCGCTCTCGTATCTGGATATCTTTCACGTTTTGCGCGTGGCTGGCTAGGTGGATTAACTCTGTTTCTGTCAAAAAACAAATAATTCAATTCTCTTCTGGTTTCCGAAGAAGGTTCAGTATCTCGCGTTTGGATGCTATTTGACAAAAGCTACTGAAATGGTACTGACAAAGGGTACTAAGAAATATGATTACTTTAATTATGGTACATCTTCTTAATATATACTATAATACACGCACATATATATAGTTTAATATATACTGCCCATATGTCTATGTACATGAGAAGAGTTTTATATATATATTCTTTTTCCACTTTGCTCGATGTGGTTTTGATTACACACACAAAATAAATAAATAAATAAATAAATAAATTGGAGTGAATAAAAAAGAAACAAAAAATCAGTACTTTTCCGTTTTGACGGGGCAGGCGATAAAGTCGCCAATAATGGTACAACCGATGGCAAACGGAATATCCTCGCTGGTAACCTTTTACTCATCATTTTCAAAACTAGTCGCAGCCATTTCGTATCAGATTGTTTCTTTCAATACTGACATACAATTACATAGAATTTTACCAGATAGTTCAGTTTTATGCCTCAAATCAGACCGCTCACCCGAGGGCAAAAATATAGAAAGGAAAAGTAAGGGTTAAATTCATCAATTCTAATGAGAATGCACTAGCGATGTAAAGCGGTTTTACATAATTTCTGAGTAACCTATTCTTACGAATTGAAATAATTCTTGCATTTAAACATGTATTCCAAATTAAGATTTAACCTGAAATTAATGAAAGAATTAGATTTTTGTAGCGTAGTTTCCGTGAGATGAGATGACTTGAGATCACGTGATATGAACCGGCGAATCAGGATGTTGTACCATGAAAGCATAGTAAATTCTTAAATAAAGATAATCCCATTGAAATTAACGGAAGATTCGAAATGAAAGCAAAAAATGAAACGATTATGAAACTCTGTAGTTCATAAAGGACAAGAATGCAATTTTTAAATAATCTGGTACTTTTCTTAATTTTTTCTGAATGAATTGTTTATTCATGAGCTTGAATTTTATTTTCTAAAATCTGTATTTTGCGTCAATTTTTGAACCCATTAATTTATGTTTCATAAACCTGCCTAACCAGAAACAAGCGTGCCCCGAAGTGGCACATCAAACTGAAGCCAACATATAGAAAGCCAAGAATACAGTGGAACTCTGTTTCAAAAAATGTGATAAGTTCCAAAATGGAAATGCAACGGGGAAGCGAACACTAATATAAACAATGGCAGCATTTAATGTATTTCACGCCAAGCTGATGGCTTGAAAACGAAAGCGACATTTCCGGCCGATTGAATAA